TACACAATAAGAAGCGCCGTATGGCTCGTTGGGCTGAACACTTTGAAGATCAGTTCAGTTGGCCCTCTGCTCCCGGACCTCTTCCTACTCAGGTGATGCAAGACGTGCCATGGACGGTTAGTATAGAGCCTCCGTCGGAGGCCGAGGTCCGAAACGCGATCACAGCCCTCAATCTTTTTATTGCCGCTGGCCCGGATTCTCTCCCACCTACAGTATATAAGGATGGAGGTGAGGTCCTCTGCAGGGCACTGACCTCCCTATTCGAACGTATCTGGAACGAAGAGAATGTGCCAGCTAATTGGAGCGAATCGATTATAGTGGCAATATACAAAAAGGGCAGTCGCACAGACTGTGCGAACCACAGGGGTATTAGCCTAACGCCAGTTGTGACAAAATTACTGGCCTCGATTCTCGTTCGTCGCCTCACTGCGGAACGGGAATCTCGGATTAGGGAAGAGCAGGTCGGTTTTCGCCCAGGACATGGCTGTATAGACCATATATTTACTTTGCGGCAGGTGCTAGAGCAGCGCCACGCACACCGCAGACCGACAATAGCTGTGTTCCTTGATTCCAAGTGTGCGTTCGATTCAGTCGATCGATCGATTCTGTTCGAATTACTTGCGCGAAAAGGTGTTTCCACGAAATATGTGAACATCTTTCGTGCTCTATACTCGAACACTACGGGCCGCGTCAGGGTTTACGGTGTCCTATCGGATAGCTTTCCGACCACAAGTGGCGTTCGTCAGGGTTGTCTGATTTCCCCATTTTTGTTCAATTTCGTTGTGGATTCTATCATGGAGTGTTACGTTGCGGAATTTCACGATGTAGGCGTTGAAGTGCTGCATGGTGAAAAATTAGTTGATGCATATTATGCGGACGATATCGTCCTGCTTTTCGACAATGTTGAGACGGCACAATCAACCCTGAATAGCCTATCCAGAGTGGTCCCATTCTTTGGTATGCACTTCGCACCTTCAAAGTGCAAAGTGTTGTTGCAGGACCACCAGCCACTTGATGACCACTTGACGCTTGCTTACGAGGAACTTGAGGTGGTTGCTCAATTCACTTATCTTGGCAGCTGCATCAGCAATGATGGGCGCATAGAAACTGACGTCAGCTCACGCATTGCAAAGGCCAGAGCTTCCTTCTTGAAGCTGCGGCATCTTTGGTGGCAGAAGAGAGTTTCCCTCCGTCTGAAAAGCTGTGTATACAAGGCCGCAGTGATGGCCGTTCTGCTCTATGGTAGTGAGACTTGGCCCCTTCGGTCTGAAGATCTGAGGAACCTTCAAGTCCTTAATTAACGCTGTCTGCGAAGCATTGCTGGAATCGGATGGCAGCAGCGTGTCCGCAACGATGATGTGCGTAGGCGAGTACTAGGTGGTGATAATCATGCTAGCTCCCTAGAACAACAGATAGCACTGAATAAGTTGCGTTGGCTCGGGCACGTGCTACGGATGCCTGGTCACCGCTTACCTAGGAGGGCCTTGTTCAGTCTACCAGGTGTAGGATGGCGCAAGGCTCGAGGTGGACAGAAGTTGACTTGGCAGCGGGAAATGAAGACACTGACGACCAAACTGGGTGCGGTTGGTCCGTCTCGCCTTCCGGGTTGGAGTCCACGTGACTCACCTTGTGCTTGGCTCGATACTTTACAGGACATGGCTCGCAACCGACACCAGTGGCGCGTCTACTGCCGTCTCCTAATCGGATTGTTTGTTTAAAGTGTGTTTGGTGCTGAGTTATGTGCGGGGTAATGGCTGATTATGACGCGTGGCAGTGAAAGCCGCAAGGAAACTGTCTCGCCGATGCCGCCTTATCTTTGCACGATAGTCAGCTGTTCGTGAGGGAATGTTGTCTACACAAGGTGTAGGCGCCTTGACCCAGAGTGTTTGCTTAGGGCATTAAGGTTTTCAGGTAAGTCCCACTTCTCTCCCTCTTCTTATTCTTTATTTCATAGGTCCTCATGGTTGTATGGCAGCGAAGCATCAGTTCAGATGGCTGATGTACTGCTGTTGTTGATGATAATGATGATGACAATTAACGGGTTATACCCTCGTGCCTAGAGCCCTGGGGGAAACAACCGCTTCCGGAGAGGCTAAGCGTGTGGTACACTAATTGCTGTAGTGTGTGTAACAAGTGGGGATGGTTAGTGACACGTTGTGAGCATATTGATGTGACGGCTTTCTCCAGACGACCTTATTAGTGATCTGCTTATAGACTTCGCGTGCTACAGAACTGATAAGCCCGGGTATCAGACTGGTGGGGGAGTACACTTGTTTATAAAGTGCCAATATAAACACTGGGAGGCTCCATTTACCATGAGTTCTGCTAACGTTCATGTCGTATTCTGCTCTCTAAGAGCATCGAGTAGATTGGAAATTATAGTATGTGTTTATCGTAGCCCATCTTCCACGCCAGAAGAGGACAAGGATCTTGGTACGTTACTAAGACAGACGGCAATGGCCGCACCTAATTTTCTGATCGTCGGTGACCTAAACCTTCCCCATGCTGATTGCTAGCTTGGTGAAAACAGGGCAGGTACTCTGGAGAAGGAATTAGTGGATTGGATGCATGAAAATGCATTCGAGCAATACGTCAATGTTCCAACCAGGAGTCGTACTGGGAGTACGCCTTCAACTCTTGATATCGTTATCGGCAGACATGCTCACTCGATTGACCTATGCGTGGAGCCACCCATAGGTAAGAGTGATCATTGCGTTTTGACCTTTTCTTTGGACACACCGAGGCTTGCAAAGAACCGTCGAATGGGAAGGGATTTAAATCGTATTGATTTTACGAAACTACGTGATCGAGCCTTTCAAGTAACTTGGATCCCCGCAACCTTGGAACAGAGGTGGCATCTACTCAAAAGTGGGCTCGTGCAAATACTGAACGAGTTTGCTCCTGTACGCCTCAGGAGACATCTTGGGAAATCCCGATGGTGGAGGAGAAAGATTGACAGCGATAAAGAGGCGCAATGCTGAGTGGAACAATATCAAGAAATTCCGGGCTTCCGACGTTGGATGCAATACAAAAGGTGTCGAAACATGGCTATTAACTTGCAGCGACAGGCGAAGTACTCATATGAGCTTAGATTGGCCAAATTTGCGAAAACAAATCACAAGTGTTATTACAGTTATGTCCAATCAAAGGCTTCTCTAAGAGAGGTGGTCGGCTGTCTAACCATGGAGGGCGGCAGCCAGGCTGTAGACGACGTCGATAAAGTAGAAGCGCCTCTACGTGTCTGCCAAAATCTGCATCGGAAGGATAGTGGGTCAGTTCTACCATCACAGCCACGCTATTCAAGTAGCTATACAATGCGGGAATTATTCTCGATGTCAGAGGTCTTCACAGTGCTGGCCAGTTTGAACCCTTATAAATCAGCTGGTCCTGACTGTACATCCCGCCATGGTTAAGTCGCTGGCTGATATCCTTCAGTATCCTGTCGCGGAGTTATTCAGCCAATCTCTTCAAGAAGGCAAGCTGCCGTGTGATTGGAAGAAGGCGACCATTGTTGCCATCCACATAGGGGGTTTTAAGTCGGTGCCTCTTAACTATAGACCTGTTAGTTTGACCAGCGTCATGCCGAAGTGTTTGGAAAAGCTTATAAGAAATAGAATCTGGGAGCACTTGACTGAGCACAATTTAGTTAGAGCGGAACAGCGTGGCTTTCTTAAAATGAAGTCGTGTCTTACCAATTTATTATGCTTTTTAGATGAGATTACCCGGTGACTCAGTAATGGGATGTCAGTAAAGCCTTTGACACAGTGAATCATCGATTTTTAATTGAGAAGTTGACATGGTTTGGATTGCATTCTCAACTATTACTGTGGCTCTCTGAATTCTTACGTGGGAGGACATTCAGAGTCAGGGTTGATGAAGTGAGTTCTAGTGTGGGTCATGCCTGCAGCGGTGCCCTCCAAGGTTCGGTACTGGGTCCATTGTCGTTTCTTATGTTTATAACTGATCTGGCTCCTCTTCTTGAGGATCCCTGCTATATCTTTGCAGATGACTTAAAGCTAGTCAGTGAAAAAATGAAAAATGAAATGTGTCAGCTTATACGCCGTAACGGCGCTTCGCTGCCGCGCGACCACCACCAGTCGCGCGCGGGCTGAGTATACCGCGAGGACGCCCACCCCTACGCGAGTCAGTAGTGGAAACCGAGCGACATTGACTAAGGACATAACTACTGTGGTGAATTGGTCGAGCCAATGGGATCTACCTCTGAATACCAATACACGTCAACCAATAGTGATAGCGGAATTGCAGTTCAGTCTTCTGCGGCATCTCTATCATTGCGGTGTACTGATGAAGCCCTCGATCTAGGTGTCATCATAGTGAACAATTTTAAGCCTTCCGCACAGTGTCGCCATACTGCCAATAAAGCACGACAAGAGTTATTTCGTCTTAGGAGGGCGCTGAGTAACACTAAAGCAGAAGTATTCTTGCCGTTATATAGAGCAGTGCTTAGGTCACATCTGGAGTATTGTGTTCAGGCCTGGGCACCGTACCTACGTAGTGACCCTATGTGTATAGAAAAGATTCAGAAACTTGCGACCAGGATGATCGAAGGTCAACGAGGGAAGTCGTACGAAGATCGTCTAAGTAGCTTGGGATTATTTTCCATGGAACGACGTAGATTGAGAGGGGATTTGTTAGAGACTTGAAGATCATTAAAGGACTTATTGGTATTAGTCCTACCCGTCTGCTTGAGCTAGCTATGTCAGACCACCTGCGCGTGCATCGCCTGAAGCTCAAACAACATAGAGCTCGTTTGGACATCAGGGCAACTTTTTTCACGAACCGAGTAGTTAACATCTGGAATAGACTTCCATCTGATTTAGTGAAATGTGAGTCTGTAGAAGCCTTCAAATGGGGCTTATATGAGTGTTGGTCTATCCTTTTTCCAGAGATATTATAATTGTATTGGAATATGTAGTGTTTTCTGATGCTAACACATGAAAGTGCAAAGATTGCTCTTGTTCTTGTCTCATTTCTTTGTAGAGGCAAGAAGTCAATCCAACGTTGAAGTGCCGGGGACCGCTTCACTTACCGTCACAAGGAACTGGACGCTCGTTAGGCGAAGACCTCTATCGTCCGTTCTACCTGACCTGACCTGATATTTCTGGACCAGTCTTACGATGGATTTCAGCTTTCCTAATCGGAATGGAAATGTGTATGCGGGTGGGTTCAAGCCTGTCCTCCCATCAGTGGCGTTCCGCAAGGTTCAGCCCTTGGCCCCCCCTTCTCTTCACTTTATACGTTAACGACCTACCCGATGAATTGAGTGTGCCATCTCTAATGTTTTCGGATGACTTGAAACTCTGGTTCAAGATAGACGATCCGATTGGTCCACTGACCGTACAGAGGGCTCTGGATAGGCTTTGGGACTAGTCCCTTTTATAACAGATGCCCGTTAATTTAGCGAAATGTTCCTTCTTACGCATTGGTCCGAATGACCCGCCGACGCATTATTTGCTTGGCGGCAACGAGGTACCGCGGGTTCAATTCCAATCTGACCTCGGAGTTTTGCTGTCATCAGACTAAGTCCAGTGAACACTGGACGACAGCTGTTCGTAAAGTCTCAGGATGTTGTGGATGACCCGCAGGTTATTCGGAATCATGACCACCAAATGTTCGTTAGACTATTTTCGGCTTTTGTATGGCCGCATTTGGAATACTGCGTTCAGGCTTGTCCTCTATGCCTGGTTCGTGATAAGATGGCAGTTGAACGAGTCCTGCGATCCGGAACGAAAATGGTGCACGGATTAAAGAAGCTGACGTACCCGGAGAGGCTACGTAAGTTGGATATGTTTTCTATATATTACAGGCGGCTTCGGGGCGACTTGGTCCTCACATCTCGTATATTGATGGGGCAGCTTGGTCCTAATTTGACTGGACTGTTTCGCCCAACTCGAGCGCTAACCCTTCGTGGCCACCCATTAAGTTGCACGAACCCCGGTCTGACCGGGTTTAGGCAGTTTTTCGGCTATCGCGTAGGGTCATAGCTTATTGGAACGCACTGCCTGCAGACGTCGTGATAGCACCGACGGTGAAAGAGTTCGAGCATCGACTTGACGCTCTCGGTCTGCAGTTTAAAGCCTTCCTCTTCATGTCTTGAACTTTTGTTCGTCTACTGCGACCTACGCTTCTTTAACCCATTTTAACTTACATCTTAATATTGCCTACGAAATTCGGTAAACTTGTCTTCTCTGTTTCCTTTCCTTTACTGACACTACTGGTTTCTTTTATTCTTCACGTGGCCGGCACAGCGGGGACTGCTAGTGCAGGGCACGTGGGCATTGTTTGGTTGACTATGTGAATCGTGTGTGTTGATTTGGTTCTCCTTTGGCACATCAAGGCCCCGGTTTCCCTATTGGATCAACGACGTTTTCGAAGGTGGAACATTCACGGGATTTTCCTACTGTTCTAGTCCCACTTGTACTAGGCGGCTCGAGCGTCCAGCCACCTACGAGGTATTTATTTTTCATTGCAGCTTGTCGCAGTACTCGGACACGGAAGAGCTCAGAACGCCGAACCGAAGGAATGTTACATACTTGGCGACTTTGCCAGTTCCCGACAGCAGTCTACGAAGCTAGATTGTAGCCCTTGAGGCAATAGTTAACTTTATTCTATCGTGCTACTTGTCGCTCCCGAGTCTAATATACCGCGCTCAGTGCCTCTTGCAGGTACATAAATTGATGCCGGTATGGGCCATTATGGGCGCTGAGGACAGCGCCTGCTAAGAGGGGGGATAATGTAGCCGGTCCGCGGGCGTCACGTTAACAAGTAAGAGCTCGATTGCTTGCGCTTCCTGTTGTCCTTTCCTTCCTATTCCACTCCGGCACTTTCCTTTCCCTCTTCCGTGCTTCCTTAGCTGCCTACTTTACATCGGCCTCTTACTAGGCGGTTGAACATCCAGCCGTCTACGAGGTATTTATTTTGCACTGCAGCTTGTCGCACTACTTGGACACGGCAAAGCTTAGAACGCCGGACCGAAGGAATATTACAGCTGCTTCTGCGTGCATACGGTGTCGTCCCGTCTGCGAATCGGCTATTAGATTTGGGTTTACTATCGAATGTCTATTTCCATCGTGCTCGACGTGTGCCATAGGTATAGCGCAATCTTGATTCGAACTCACTTTGAGTTGACTCCAACCTTTTGCGTTTACTAAGAGACTGAAACCTCCCTAGTGTTCTTTCGACTGCCACGTACATTGGTGACCTCGCCTTAATTTTTGTGAACACGTTTTTTTAGTCATGTCTGCTCAGACCGCATGTGGTTTTACTGACAATTCCGTCTAACTCTCTCTCCCTACCTTGGACATTTCTAAACCACATGTATGGTTTATTCAGGTGGAAGCTACTTTCCGATGTCGTAAGATTACGATTTTCCATGTTTTTACACGTCGTCTCCCGCTTACCTGTCTCCATCATCATCATCATCAACAGTAGTACATCAGCCATTTGAACTGATGCTTCGCTGCCATACAACCATGAGGACCTATGAAATAAAGAATAAGAAGAGGGAGAGAAGGAGGACTTACCTGAAAACCTTAATGCCCTAAGCAAACATTCAGGGTCAAGGCGCCTACACCTTGTGTTAACAACATTCCGTCACAAACAGCTGGCTATCGTGCAAAGATAAGGCGGCATCGGCGAGACAGCTTCCTTGCGGCTTTCACTGCCACGCGTCATAATCAGCCATTACCCAGCAGATAACTCAGCAGCAAACACACTTTAAACAGACAATCCAATTAGGAAACGGCAGCAGACGCGCCACTGGTGTCGGTTGCGAGCCATGTCCTGTAAAGTCTCGAGCCAAGCACAAGGTGAGTCACGTGGGCTCCAACCCGGAAGGCGAGACGGACCAACGGCACCCAGTTTGGTCGTCAGTGACTTCATTTCCCGCTTCCAAGTCAACTTCTGTCCACCTCGAGCCTTGCGCCATCCGACACCTGGTAGACTGAACAAGGCCCTCCTAGGTAAGCGGTGACCAGGCATGCGTAGCACGTGCCCGAGCCAACGTAACTTATTCATTGCCTCTGAACCCATTGTTATCCTTGATCTCATGATTGCAGAAGCGCCGTATGATAAACTCAAAGCGGCTATCGTTAAACGCACCACTGCGTCCGATGAGACTCGTTTGCAACAGTTACTTTCCGGTACCGAGCTTGGCGATCGCACCCCATCTCAGTTTCTTAGACATATGCGTTCCCTAGTTGGTTCTTCAAAACTCGACAACTCCATACTCCGCCAATTTTGGACGAATATCTTCCGGCAAACATCACAACGATTTTATCAGTTCTTAACGATGACAGTCCGGAAAAGTTTGCAGAAGCTGCAGACAAAACGCACGAATATTTCCTTAAGAATACGCTTAATCACGTAGCTGAGTCCACCACAGCCAGCTCGTCCCATAGCACTAGGCTTGATTCAATCAACGATAGAATCTCCCGTCTAGAACTCAGCATGTCTGTTATCCGACGTGAACGCACTACTATCCGAAGAAGCCCTCGTGGTCTGCGCCGCAGCACATCTCGCTCACGTCATCGGTCGTACTGCTACTTCCACCGTCACTTCTGTAAAGCAGCACGTAACTCGCCCGGGATGCAATTACCCGAAAGGAACTCCGATTTCTCAACCGGGAAACGCCAAAGCCAGCCAGTAATGGCGACGGCTGTCACTGACCAAATCCTGTCGCCTTCTGTACGTGTTCGACTCCACGACTAAACTTCATTTTTTGTTCGATACGGGAGCAGAAATCGGTGTTATTCTACGGTCTTTGGAAAAACGCATTCTGCAACAAGCCGGACTTACGTTACAGGCGGCTAACCAGACTAAGCTTGCGACCTACGGTCATAAGCTGTTGCACCTAAGCCTTAGTTTACGACGCGAATTTCCTTTTATCTTTACCATCGCAGATGTCCAAAAACCCATAATTGGCATCGACTTCCTTAGCAATTGCGACCTCGTCGTCGATCTACGTAGCAGGAAGTTACGGGACGACAACACTTCGCTCACTGTCCCTTGTCATCTCGCCCCAGTCACTTCCGTCGGACTTCGCGTAGTCATGCCAGACAGTACGCCGTATTCATAATTGTTTCAGCAATTCTCGTCTTTTGGTCCGTACTAACACCGACTCTACCGAGCCTAAACACGAGGTTCGTCATCATATCGTCACAACGGGTTCACCCGTGTCAGCCAAACCGAGACGTCTTCCACCTGACTAGCTCCAAGCGGCTAAACGTGAATTCGAGCATATGATCAACCTCGGCATAAATCGCCCATCCAACAGTTTTTGGGCTTCCCCGCTTCATCTTGTACCCAAAAAGCTCGGTGATTGGCGTCCATGCGGTGATTACCGGGCACTCAACGCCGTTACCACCCCCGACAGATATCTATCTCTCTTATTCATGATTTTTCATTAGGATTGACCGAGAAATCCGTTTTTTTCCAAGATTGACCTTGTTCGAGCGTACCATCAGATTCCAATGGCACCTGAAGACATTGCTAAAACGGCCGTTATCACACTTTTCGGTTTGTACGAGTTCATTCGTATGCCCTTTGGCCGACGCAATGCAGCACAGTCCTTTCAGCGCTTCATGAACCAGGTCTTCCGTAGCCTGAACTTTGTTTTGTCTACATCGACGATGTCCTAATAACCAGTGCCACGTCAGGAGAGCACTTGGATCACCTTCGACAAGTATTCGAACACTTCGATCATCACGCGATAACCATTAATCCTGATACATGTCTATCTGGTCAATCTAGCGTCGATTTTATTAGTCACAGAATTGATATCAAAGGCATTAGTCCCATCCCTGAGAAAACCAAGGTAATCATGGACTATCCACTGCCTCAATCCGTTAAAAACCTGTGCCGATTCCTTGATATGGTTAATTATTACTGAAGCTTCATTAACAATTGTGTCGCCGTTCTTCAGCCTTTGACTGATTTACTTTAAGGTAATCCAAAGAAGTTCACCATTACGCCAGAAGCCGAAACAGCGTTTGTTGCCATCAAACAGAAGTTGAGCCAGGTAACTTCCCTGAGCTACTTGGACACCGACAAGAAAGCTACTCTCGTTCTCAAGACTGATGCCTCACAATCCGCTGTCGGTACTGTACTACAACAACTAATCAGCAGTGAGATTCAGCCACTCTTTCTTTTCTCGGAAGCTA